AAGATGGATATTTAGTTGGCCCTCACACATCTGAATGGATATAATCTAAAATAGCCTTAGAATAATGGTTTCACACACTAAACGTAATTTTGTTCATCTTCCCATAAATGCAGTGATCATAGAAATCCAGCTTCTTTACTTTATCTCCTCCTAGAACCTTTTGCTTACTCAGATCAACTAATCCTTTTTCACTAACATGCCCTAACCTCCTATGCCATAAAGTGGTCCTATTGGACTTCTGAGATAAAGATACAGTTGCTGTTCCAGTGATGGTTGAACCATTTAGAATATACAACCCATTCTTCATCTCACCCTTCATTATAACTAAGTATCCTTTAGTTACTTTAAGGACTCCACCTTGAGCCTTATAACTATAGCCAATTGTGTCTAGGCTTCTTAGAGAAACTAAATTTCTTTTTAGTTCTGGTATGTATTTAACATATGTGAGCCATTTTGAACTTCCATCATGCAAATTCAGCCTTACATCTCCTATTCCTAAGACTCTACAAACTGCATTATTACCCATCAACACATTTCTAGACTCTAGTTTCTTAAAGTTTGACAGAAAACTCCTATTTGGAGTCATGTGAAAAGAACAGGCAGAATCAAGTACCCATTCAGCATCAGTTTCATTTTTAGAAGCTACTAACACATCATAACTCTCATAACCATCAGAAACTATATCTACACTCCCACTAACATCCTTTTCCCCTAATTTTTTCTTCCTATTAGGACAGTCCCTCTTAAAATGACCTTCCTTATGAAAGTGGAAACATTTTCTAATGAATTTGGACTTAGATTTTGATCTACCCCTGAAACTCCCTTTCTTGTGGCCTTTCTTTTCAGATCTTCCTCTCACATATAACCCCTCACCATCTAGTTTACCTTCCTTTTTAAATTCAGCATCCTTAGCAATAATTGATACCACTACTTCATCTAGTTTAAGGGTTTGTCTGCCATACTTAAGGGTGTCCACAAAATTTGAAAATATTTTGGAAAGAGAGTTAATAAGAATCACTGCTTGATCTTCATCCTCAACTTAACACTAAGCCCTTCTAAATCCTGTACTAGTTTCATAAAGTCATTCATATTTTCTCCTAATATGTTGTTTTCATCCATTTTAAAACTGAACAGTTTCTGTTTTAAAACTAACCTATTAGGAGAAGACTTTGACAGGTATAAAGAGTCTAATTTTTCCCAAATTTTCGCTAGTGTGGTCATTTTCTTAACTTCTCTTAAGACCTTATCCCCCAGACCTAGGATTAAGGTACTGTAGGCTTTATTTAACAGGTCTTTCTTCTTCTTCTCAGATAGGGAGTCTGGTAAACTATCCTCACCCTCTAAAGTATCAGACAGTCCATCCTTAACTAAGATAGCCCTCATCTTCATCTTCCATAATCCGTAATCATTATCCCCTGTGAATTTTTCCACCTCAAACTTAGACATTTCTAGGTTCTTAACCTTCACAAATGCCAAGAGTACAAAAGCCCCAATTTACCAGAGACTAGTAGAAACCCTAAAAATTTGCAGTTGTGAAAAAATCAGATCTAAGCCTAGATTACTTTAGATTAAAAAGGATCTATGATGAGAATGCAAAATGTCATATTTACCCTACCTTAATGTCTAGTCTTTTATACTTATTTTTTGCCTAAATGTACTCATTATTATTCTATTTTGATTTAGGAGGCAAATGGAGGCGTTAAATGCAAAACGGAACTAATTAGATGAATTCGGACAGTTTCGACATTGCTTTGTAATATGGGCATAACTCTCTCATCTGAGCTCCGATTGAGATGATTCAAAATGCTGTGGAACTCTAAGAAAGAGATATACAACTTTAATTTTTTGAGTTTGGAGAGATAATCGCTGCATCAAGGTTGTAATCGGGCTTGAAGTTGACGCAACTGCATTGCTGACGTACTGGAACATTCCGCCTTGTCATGCAATTCAAATAGGCAGATTTTTATAGGAAGTTATAAAGACCTGTTGCACGCAAATTACAGCTAGAAAACACCATTTTCCTATTTTATTTTAGGACTTTATTATTTTATTTTCAGTTAATCAGATTAGGATAAATGTTACTTTAGGATATTGGAATATTTTGAGGAGATTGAGTAGAATTAGAATTCGAATTAGATATTTTTAAAGGGAGATCAGATTGAGATATATCATACACGCCTCTCTTTCTAATTTTTGGAATTCATTTTCTTTTGAGTTTTTCATAGCCATAAGCGGCTAAACTTTTATAACTTGGTCGAAGGAAGCGGAGACCTCGGAATCAATAAAACTGTGAGATCTATCTGTTTTTAGTGTTCAATTTATGTTTTGAGTATTGGATGTTCTTCTATGCATATTGTCATGATTGTTGCGTTTAATTACTAGGAGGCCTACTAGTTTATTATTTGTTGCAATCTACTGCTAAGTTAGATATCAAATCCGTAATTGTTTGATCTTTTTAACTTGTGAAGCAATTAGGGTTTAAGAATTTGCTGCGTCAGGAATTATTAAGTCTTAAGAAGAACATTCAACTAAATTAAATACAACCGCTTGAGTTTGTGTTGTTTAGCTTCATCGATCTCTCTAGTTCTTAAGGCTGCCACTATATTAAATCTTTAGCACTTGTCTAGGGTTGTTTAGTGGTAAGATTAATTAGATCGCATGTTTCCTAATTAACTACAACTAAGGAGAGATAGGAAAATAGTTCCAACAATGAATACTCAGAATAAGAATTGATTTATTTTTGCATCAGTGATCAGTTATAAGATTCCGATGGTGGATGTTGACTTAGACCAAGTTTCGTTATTTTGATTGATTTATGTAATTTAGGTTGAATTTCTTTTCCTGAAATTGTTTCTGTTTTTACTCAAATCCCCCCCCCCCCCCCCCCCCCCCCCCCCCCCCACCATACTGGTTCACGTAACATAAAACTCGGCTAGACACTCTCCGTGGGAACGATCCCTACTCACACTACTATGTGTATTTTTAGGGTTTTAATTCTGGGTGCCTATGACAACACACCAATCTCTCAACCTAGAATAAACCCTAGGTGCTAGAATGAAAACCTAGCTCTGATACCACTTGTTGCAAACAGAGACCATAAATGAAAATCCAAAGCAGTACATAATCCAAAACAGCAGATAAATCACAAGCAATATAAACAAATAATAAGCTGAATATAAAAGGTACACAGATTTATAGTGGTTCGGTAATCACACAGATTACCTACATCCACTCTTCAGGGCAATAAGAAGAATTTACTATGAGAATAGAGAACCTTACAAAGATTTACGCTCACCCTTTACACAGAACAAAACCCAGATGAAAAACCCCTCTGTAAAACCCAGATCTCCTCACCTCTCATACATCACGCACAATAACCAAACATTAGTGACAAATTTATACACAAGTGAAAGCAAAAAGAAAAATCCAGCTAAGACCTACCACCACCGTTTGATTCCATCAACGCTCTTCAGATTTCTAGCACATCCAAAGATTTGTAACAAACTTTCTCTCTCTGTAACCAAGAGAGAAAGCTCGAGAAAACAGAATGAACAAAACCTAATTTGCATTAGGTTTATTGAAGAATGGATTTGACAGAATTGTCCCTTTAGTCTTTAACAAATAACTTTGACCATCCAAATTATAATTTGACTTCCACGTGGGCATAGGTCAATTGTTACATCACAACAGGAAATTTGGTTTGCAAAGCATGAGTATGTTAAAGTTGAATTGAAGTTTGCATTTTGGAGTTAATATATTAGTTTATATAGTTTTTTTTTTTTTGATAAAATATATGATTATATGAGGTTATTATATATATGTATATATATTTTGGTGAAAAGGGGTGTCCGAGTCAGTTTATGAGTACTTCAACTAATCCCCCGGAGCCCTGAAGTTAATAGCAGGGTAAATCCCCTGAGTGACCATCCCTATTATCAACTTAGGTGGATTGAACTCAAGATCTTTTAGGTAATACAACCAAGAATCCTAGTTGACAATTGAGCCACTAGGCTAAGGTTATTATATGTTGTTAACTTGTTATTGTGTTAAGGACAATAATAATAATAATGATAATAATAATAATAATAATAGGGAATTTTGTAAATTTCATTGAAGAAGATGAACTAGAGAAGTAGAGATTCGCCTATGTGAACTTGGGTTTGTAATACAGGGATACGATTTCAGAAGTTGTGATAGAAAAGAAAATTACAAAAGGGTATTTATGTCAAAAGGTGTATATATTGGTTAATATAATTTAGGGTTAAAAGATAGGATTAATTTGTTAACACCACTAAAGCTTGGTTAACATTATTAATATGCCTTTAATACATTACAAGTTATTCTTTTATATGTGTTTTTATACGAGATATTATAGATTAACCAAATTTTAGGGGTGTTAAAAAAATTAACCATATCTTTAAATCCTAAATTATAAACTATATTAAAGTGAAACTTATGTTTATAAATGAGTATTAACATCTTAATTTTTGTTAATTATTTTTCTTAAATATAATAATTTTGTGTTATTTTAAGTTGCCCCGCCTACATCAAACTCCTGACTAAGTCCATACTTTTACAGTTTTACTGATTACTTATTATCATTAATTATGTTGATTTTTTTTTTATCCTATCTTAATTTACCATTAGAAAAAAAAAATTAAGAAAAAAAAATAATAAAAGAAAGAAAGAAAGAAATCTAAGACAGGAATAAACCGCATGAAGCAACTCCGAAAAACCAGAGAGAGCCGTAACTGTCAAACGGTCAGTCTTTTAACTCTTAAAACCACGTCGACAAAGTTGAATTGAAATAAAAAAGAAAACGCAAAACCCTAAACCCTAAACACTACTAATTAATAAAAAACTAGAAGCTGCACCTGGTTCTAGAGTCTTCCCTTTCTCTTTAAAACCAAATCACCTCCACTCCCGTTACCGCACTCCTGCAGTCCTGCACACACACACTCTCTCTCTCTCTCTCTCACATACACACACACACACACACAACATCTCTTCAATCTCCAGACGTCTCACTATGTATCGCTTCGCTTCAAGCCTCGCCTCCAAAGCCAGGTACATCATTCTTCTATCACTTTCCCTTTGTTTCCAGAGAAAATGCAGGGAACTTACTCTACTTCACTTTATAGTCTTTGAGTTTATTCTTTGTTTAAAGATCTAATACGACGCTTTGAGCTAAAGGAATGAGATCAAAACGACATTTGAATTTCTTTATAGTTCTGACTTTTTTTTTTTCTTCTTTACTTTTTTTTTTCTTCTTTTTGGTTTTCAGGATCGCTAGGAACAATACCCAGCAGGTGATTGTTGATTATAGCTTTTCTATTTTTATATTTTCTTTGATACGAGGACTTTGTTATTGATACATAAGACGTTTTGTTGTGTTACTAGATTGGGAGTAGATTGAGTTGGAACAGGAACTATGCAGCAAAAGATATTAGATTTGGAGTGGAGGCTCGAGCTTTGATGCTTAAGGGTGTTGAAGAGCTCGCAGATGCTGTCAAAGTCACCATGGGACCTAAGGTTCTTCTTTAACCAAACCTTGCTAAGTTTCTTGGTTTCTTTTTCTTAGTTTTATCTCTTCTTAATTTAAAAGTGATGGCCTTGATCACGGATGACAATTGCAATCTTCAGAAGTTGAGAAGTGCACTCCGAATTTATTTAGCTTAGTTTATTGTGCTTGAATTAGATTAGAATTAATGAAGAATTTGTCTTTGGCTTTACTCTTTTGTTTAGAATGGTCACTACTCATTATATTTGAGTTTCTAATCATTATTATTTTTGTTAAGTAATATGTGTACTTTTTGTTTCGATTAAATTTTAATGTTGAGAAGGGTCTGAATTTCTAGGATTAATAGAGAACTTACTAATTGGGAATGTAGAATCCATGGAAGAAGTTTGTATTAAAAAAAAAAAAAAATGATCTTGTAGTCTTTTGGGGTATAAGCATAAAAGAAATTAAATCAAAGATGCCATGTGTTTGTTGCTCTCCATATCTTGCTTCCTTCTTGGTCTTCGTTCTTCTTTGATTAATTTTTCTGTCTATTAAGCGATATGATAATTAGAATTGACAATGTATTTCTGTTCAAAGGGCCGTAATGTGGTCATTGAACAAAGCTGGGGTGCTCCCAAGGTGACCAAAGATGGTGTTACTGTTGCAAAGAGCATTGAGTTCAAGGATAAAATTAAGAATATTGGTGCTAGCCTTGTGAAACAGGTTGCAAATGCCACCAATGATGTTGCTGGTGATGGTGAGATTTCAGCCCTTTAATCTTTACCTGTGGGTTCTTTGATTATGGAGGTGCTATCTGTTAAAGTATAAATGCTGAAAATGGTTTTTTTGGGAGAAATCGATATCCCATATTCTGTTTTAATTTTGCTTTTCTTAAATACCATATTATATTGAACAGTGTAAGATTTTCAATGTGATTGCAGGGACCACTTGTGCAACTGTTCTTACCCGAGCAATATTTACTGAAGGTTGCAAATCAGTTGCTGCGGGTATGAATGCAATGGACCTAAGACGTGGTATCACCATGGCAGTTGATTCTGTGGTGACAAACTTGAAGAGTAGAGCAAGAATGATCAGCACATCAGAGGAAATAGCACAGGTTTGCTTATTGGGATTCATTCCCTATAGCAGCTTGATTATGTTGGTGCTAGCAATGCTTGGATATCTAATCTGAGGTTCTTTATATGAATTTACTTTGATAGGTGGGGACAATATCAGCAAATGGAGAGAGAGAAATTGGCGAATTAATAGCAAAAGCTATGGAAAAGGTTGGCAAAGAGGGAGTAATCACAATTCAAGTAAGTCTTACAGAATTACCTCTGTTTTCTTATCCTTGCATTTGGGGTTTTTTTTATGTTTGTTTGTTTGTTTTATTTTTTTTTATTTTTTTTTTAATTCATGGGTCTTATTCTATGTACGATATATTGCAGGATGGGAAGACATTATATAATGAGTTGGAAGTTGTTGAGGGGATGAAGCTGGACAGAGGCTACATATCCCCTTATTTCATCACCAATCAGAAAAACCAAAAATGTGTAAGCCTTTTCTCATGACTCAATTGGTTTAGCATAAAGTGCTGAAAATCTGTGTCATTTTGCTAAACGTTGACTTCACTTTAGAGCTGATGGTGCTTTTGTCTTTTAATGCAGGAATTAGAAGATCCTCTTATTCTGATCCACGAGAAGAAAATCTCAAATTTAAATGCTGTTGTGAAAGTATTGGAGCTGGCATTGAAGGTAAGCACTTTAGAGTTAGTCAATTTTTCTGTGGTTATTTGCTTGAAACTAGAGTTTGAGTAATTTTTACTGTTGGGTGTCTAAATTGGATACTTCTCTCTTATCTTGTTCAGCGACAAAGGCCCTTACTAATTGTGGCTGAAGATGTGGAAAGTGATGCACTAGCTACACTTATCCTAAACAAGCTTCGTGCTGGAATCAAGGTTGATTTTTATTTTTTTAATTTAACAATACTCTTCATTCCATTATATTGAGTTTCCTTTTGATCAGGGATTTTAAATTTATTTCATGATCTAATGGGGATTATGCGTTTTGTAGGTCTGTGCCATTAAGGCCCCTGGTTTTGGAGAGAACAGGAAGGCCAATATGCAGGATCTAGCCACTCTCACTGGTGGTGAAGTAAGTGCACCCTCCTGTTCATGGTTTAAGTTTTTTTCAGGTTACGGTGCTGTATGATATGACCTTTAAAATGATATACTTTGTTGGGCATTGCAGCTCATAACCGAGGAGCTTGGTATGGATCTTGAAAAGGTGAATCTAGATATGCTTGGCTCTTGCAAAAAGGTAAGATCAATTATCATTGATGAGCAGCTCATTAGCATTTTAGCTTTTTTATCACGTTTTACTATGAGCATGAGAGTTTTCCTTGATGTGGTTGTAGTTTTCCTTTCTCCCTTTTTTAATCTTAGGTAAAGATTTCTGTCCTTTTTAATTTTGAGACTAGGACTAGTGTAATAGCTTTAACATGTTCTTAAATCTGTGGTAGATTTTGTCTTCAATATGTAATTTTTATGTTGTAGGTTACAATATCGAAAGATGACACTGTTGTTCTTGATGGGGCTGGTGATAAGAAGGCCATTGAGGAAAGATGTGAACAGGTATGTTTTTCTTCATTCTGGAATCTGTCAATTCATCCTTTGCTGAAAGATTGATAATTTATTAGGTGCACTTGGTTAATTTAGAAATAAACAATGAGAATAACCTTTACTAAACTTTCAAAATTATAACTTGATTTATGTGCCTGCTTAATTTCTTCACTTTCTGTTATGTTAACAGATTCGGTCAGCAATTGAATTGAGCTCTTCTGATTATGACAAGGAGAAATTGCAAGAGAGATTGGCAAAGCTTTCTGGTGGTGTTGCCGTATTGAAGGTCTGCTACTTTCTTATATCCCATTGCATACATTTGTATCCTCTTGACTCAACACTGCAACAGCTCAACAACCTGGCTTAACTGTATAGTTCTTCCAGTATATGGTTGTACAGATTTCTGAGTACTTCGCTTTTCTTTTGTAGATCGGAGGAGCTAGTGAAGCTGAAGTTGGTGAGAAGAAAGATAGAGTTACTGATGCCTTAAATGCTACAAAGGCAGCTGTAGAAGAGGGAATTGTACCAGGTACTTAAATTTCCTCGTTCTTGTTTTATTCTTCTGAATTTGTTGGAAGCTTATGTGGACAAATCTTAACTTTTGTACTTTTGTCTGAATCACTTCCAGGTGGTGGTGTGGCTCTTCTTTATGCAGCAAAAGAGTTGGACAAATTGCCCACTGCCAACTTTGACCAGAAAATTGGTGTGCAGATTATTCAAAATGCTCTGAAGGTTTGTATCTGCCTTTTTATGTATAGAAGCTTTCACCTTGAATTGATATGCAGAGATGAGACATCATTGTTCCAGGACCTTAATTTTAGTTAATGAACCTTTTTATTTTCATTTTTCTTGAATATTATATATTACTTTTTTGGTTCCAAAGGTGCTCTGTGACAAGAATGTGTATTGCGGTGTTGTGAACTGAGCAATTGATCAATTCATTTTCAATTGCAGACGCCAGTGCATACAATTGCTTCTAATGCAGGAGTTGAGGGTGCTGTTGTTGTTGGCAAGCTATTAGAGCAGGACAATACTGATCTTGGGTACGATGCTGCAAAAGGTGAATATGTTGATATGGTGAAAGCCGGAGTTGTTGACCCATTGAAAGTGATCAGAACTGCTTTGGTCGATGCTGCAAGGTAAGCCGAAAAGCTCTTATCTGGGTTTTGATTTATGGGTTCTCTCCTGTCAATCATCATTGTATTTGTTAGTAATAATGCTTTAACAAAGAAGCCATTTGTTGGTTGTTGGCGCAGCGTGTCATCTTTGATGACAACAACTGAAGCTGTTGTAGTTGAACTTCCAAAGGATGAGAAGGAAGCTCCGGCAATGGGCGGCGGCATGGGTGGCATGGATTATTGAAAGTCCCCCAAATGTAACAGAGTGATCTAAATTTTTGCGGCACTTAATGTGTTTCTTTTTTAATTTATAGAAACTAAATTTTAGGGTTCATGGACTGCTGAAGCTGAAAGAGAGTTCTAATTGTTTGAGTCATAAGGCTTCCTTGTAATCATAATGAGAGGTCGAACTGTAGTTAGTCGGGCAATTCTGATTGATGTTAACTTGGAAGAATTGGTTTGTATTGAAAACCGTATTTTGTTTTTCAATAAAACATTCTCTTCCTTGCATATTTGGCTATGGGAAACTCTTTATCGTCATTTATTAATTTAATTATCTTATTTTAAATATTTTGTTAATTGTAAATAATATTAGTTTGTTTGCATAATTTGAACGTATAATAATCATTGTTTTAAAACCTAGCCCTGGTTTGATTGGTGAGTTGGTCAGGATATTGTAGCAACACGTCAGTTCAACCGATTTTTGAGGAAAATTGGGTGAATCAAAATGCAGTAAACAACGACTTTTGGTTGGCATTGGGCTTGTAACATGAATCGAGGTTAGGGAGTTTTGAAGAGTAAATCACGGTGAGTTGGGAGGTGGTGTTTGATCAAGTTTTAGTCATTGGATCGTTGGAATTTGGCCAAGAAACGGCGAAACCCGAGCTTTTGATTGTCGGCGATTGGTTGGTGGAATGACTTAGGAACTTTGGGGGTTTTGTAGGGGAATAGTCGGTGAGTCTAAGGGTGGTGATGGTTGGAGTTGTCATTCAAAACGGTTGGAATCTGGCGAAGGACAATTGATTGACGTGGTTTTTGTGGGCGGTGATCGGTGAGTGATGAGAGAGGATAAAGGGTATAGTTTTGAAGAGGAGATGGTAGGGGTTCCAATGGTGGTGACGAGAGTGATTTTGGGTGAGAAAACAAAAACGGAAAAGAAGGTCGGCATTCACGCGTGCTAACAGATGCCTGAAACATCAAAAAGCTAATGTGTATCGAAAATAATTTTTTTTTCTTTTTTTTTATGTAGACGTCATTGGTTTGACTCGTCGGTCAACTCAGAACCTGACCACTTTTCCGGGTTTAGCCTCAGGTTAGTTTTTAAAACATTGATAACAATACAATTAATGAAGAACTCATATTCACAAAGAAGATTTTTGAATCATTAAAAAAAAAAAAAAATGTTTCTAACAATCAATTTCTATTTTTTGAGTTTCAACTTGGTAATTGAAATATATATATATATATATATATATATATATCCTCTATTTTAAATGTCCTCTATTTTAAAAAATTAAATTGAAATGTGATATCTTTTTAATTAATTTAATAAATTAGATTTTTTATTCAAATTCATTTTTTCTATTTTTATCCCTTGCGCTTAACTTCTAAAACTATCCCAGCCACGAGTTGGCTTTATAACCAAAATTTTTTAATTTTTTTTAATATGTTTCATTTAATTTTTAATTTTTATAAAATTAAAGTAACTCTTTTGTATACTATTTATTTTAAAAAAATATATATTTCATTTCTTATTTTAATAATATAATTGGTTAATTTTTTTTTTTTTTAATTTAGAGAGAATTTAATGTTTATTTAGTTAAATGTAATATAATAAAATTGTAATATTGTTTTAAAATTAAAATATATAATTTTTATTAAAATTAGAAAAGACTCTAATATTACATAAAAGCAAAAATTCCACATTAAATAAATAGTATTTTTCCTTTATTTATTAATTTTATTTAGTTATAAAGTATTGGGCTTTTATTATTCATTTAGTTGGGAAAAATAGAATAAAACATTATAATTGTATTCAGTAATGAATAAATTATTAATAGTTATGTCTTATTACAAATTAATTATAATAAGTAATTGAAATAAAAAGTATTTTTATTTAATTATAATATTGTGTTTTTTAATTGATCTAGTTGGGAAAGAATAAAATAAATATTATAATTTTATTTAGTAATAAATATATTAATAATTATGTCTTATTACAAATTAATTATAGTATTTATTACGCCAATGTGACTTGATAAAGACTTGAAAATACATATTTTGTTAGTGATTCAATTGGATTATTTGTGGAAAAATGTGTTTTTAATGTGAAATTTGAGTTAACTATTTCATAAATACATTTTATGAGATCATAGGTGTATTTCGAGTATTTTCAGGTTAAAAACGATATTTGAATAAAGAAGAATGATGTCGATAAAATTCGTGACGAATAGGAACAAACGGTGTAAGAATCGGAGTTGAAATGAGAAAATTATGACGCGTTGAATATGAGACTTAAAATCTAGAAATTCTTCAAGATGAGCATGCTTCGATGTTTTAATCATAACTTGAGCTATAGAAATCAGAATTTAATGATTCTTATGGCGTTGGAAAGCTTCTTCAAAGAGCTACAAAGTTTGTGTTGATAATTCCACCAAATTCTGAAGATTCCAGACTAGTGGGACAAAAAGAACGATCACCGCAGCGACTGTTTTTGTTGCCGCAACGATGGATCACGGGTATGTTTGGGTTATTGTATTTTCCTAGTTCGAATCTGAATAGTTTAAGGCATCTAATTATTTCATATTATCCTCCAAACCCTAGCACTATAAATAAGGGTCTTTATATAGTTTTTAGGGAGGTTAGAGAAGGAGAAAGAACGGCTACTATTTTGGAGATCAGAATTTTTGCAGTTTTTGTTCACCAATTTAGAGAAATTTTTATATTTTCTTTCTTGGACTCATGTTTCTTAATACAATATTTGTTTTTATTACAGCAATTATGAACTAAATTCCTTTTCTAGGGCTAAAGATGTAGCCCAATTTATGAATATGTGTTGATTTTATTGTTGTTAATTTTAATTGAGCATTAATTCTAAGTTTTATTATTGTGTGTAATGCTTTCAATTCTTAAGGGCTCGAGAGTTGAATGATTTTATGGGTTGGGTTGAGATCGAGAGATGAAACCTGATTAGTCTAAGGCAATAAAATCATAGATTGAGCGAACACTAGAGATAGGTTACCGCGATCTGTGAGACTCTAATAAATTCCATAGAATTTAATAATCTCTTAGCTTCTAAATCCACTTTAGAGATATTTTGGATTGTTGCTTAAGGATTAATTCACTAATTTTTCGAGAGAAAGTTAGTGAAATATTAGGGAGTTTGGCCTTTAGAATAAACTTAATTAGGTTAGCAATAATTGTCAATACATAAGATTAAATTAGTGTGAATTCTGTGACCTAGGTTTATTCTTATTAATCTTTTCACCAAAGTATTAACACAATTAAGCTTTTGTTTACTTTTTAGTTTGTTTTGTTTTTCATTAATTCATTCTTAAAATTTAGTTTCATCAAATAGCAATAAGATAGATTAGTTTGGTACTTGGTAGGTAGTTCTCTTGAGATTTGACACTCGTTTATTCGAGCTTTACTACTTGCGTGATTTCGTACACTTGCGAATAGTCTGCCATGACTACGTTTTCTAGATTGATCATTTGATTTTTCTTTTTTCATTAAAAAAAAATCAAATTTCTTTATTTTTATGTGACAAATTCTTTATTTTTTTTTTTATTTTTTTTGAAGTGAAAGGAGTATTAAGTTAATAAAGATAGTAAAGACCTAGAGAAGTGCTTGGAGAAGTTTGTAAATATACTAACAAAATACAAGTATTAAACTCATCCTTTTTCGATCCTTTTTTCTTGATTCTATTTGTCTTCCTGTTACCAGCATCACAAGGTTAAGTGAATGACCTCCGTGATTCTTCAACCTTAATTTCTCCGGTACTAATTTATTGAACAATTTATTTAAACTCTACTTATCTTTAATAGTGTTGTAGTTTACTTGAAATGTCTCAAATGGAAATGAACTTGCTCCCACCATTTTGAGAAATTCAACCCGTTAAACATGACAACATATGATGCTCGTGAATGTGAAGAAAGAGGAGCTGAAAGTTGAAACTGCAAAGAAATGCTGAATGATGTGGTTAATGTACAAATGTTGCAAGTGCTTAGTGGTGGAAAAATATGATGGCATAAAGTTATGGATTATTAATCCTATGATGAATTATTATGAATTGTATGCATAATGACGGTAATTTTATGCATGATACTTAATTTGATTAAACGATCATATAATATATCATTGCATAACATAAATTATTATATTTTTTAAATGTAATAATTTTTTTTGAATATATTCAAAATTGATGATGCAAGATGACATAACCGTTTTTTTGAAATGATATATATGTCATAGAAATTATTATTTTATGACAATTTTATGAAAAATCATTTGTGTCATAAAATGATTATTCTCGAAGTAATCAAACCTAATTTTCTATGCCATGCATGCATAGCATTTTTGAAATGTCTTGAAATGATGCTAATTGATTAAATAAGAAAAATTAATATTTTATTTTTGGGTGGAAAATGACAAAGTTGTTTCGTGTAATGATTCCTTAAAATTATGTAATTGTTGCATGGCCCAATTTTTTAACAAAATTACCGCCATGCATAGCATTTTTGAAATGATGCTAATTGATTAAATAAGAAAAATTAATATTTTATTTTTGGGTGGAAAATGACAGTTGTTTTGTGTAATGATTCCTTAAAATTGTGTAATTGTTACATGCCTCAAATTTTTAATAAAATTACTATATATATAGTTAGTTAGTTTATAATCATGCTTTTAAATAATTTTTTATTTTATTTGGTATGAATAAATTAATATTTGTCTATGTGATGGATGAATGTTAGATTAGAGGGTCGATCATAGATGCCATTTAGTTTTCAAAAATATTCAAATGGTTTGAAATATTCTTTTATTGAATGGAATCTAATAATTAATTTTATTTAATTATCTATTTTATCAGGCCTGCATGCCTAAGATCCAATTTATAATTGAATCGGCTGGATGGAAACCTGAAGAGCATCTGGGTGGCGTTCCAATTGAAGATATATAATTATGGTTAATAGTTTACCTTTAGGAGTGTGTTTGAATCATATAATGTTTTATTATAAGAGGATGTATATATATATATATATATATATATATATATAGAGAGAGAGAGAGAGAGAGAGAGAGAGAGTTAGTTAGTTAGTTTATAATCACGCCTTTAAATAATTTCTTATTTTATTTGGTATGAATAAATTAATATTTGTCTATGTGATGGATGAATGTTAGATTAGAGGGTTGATCATGGGTACCATTTAGTTTTCAAAAATATTCAAATGGTTTGTAATATTCTTCTATTGAATGGAATGTAAAAATTAATTTTATTTAATTATCTATTTCATCAGGCCTGCGTGCCTAAGATCCAATTTATAATTGAATCGGCTGGATGGAAACCCGAAGAGCGTCTGGATGGCGTTCCAATAGAAGATATAGAATTAGGGTTAATAGTTTACCTTTAGGGGTGTGTTTGGATCATATAATGTTTTATTATAAGAGGATGTTATATTAATGAAAAGATATATCACCTTGAAGATTATTGGAAATGTTTAGGGAAATGTGCTTGGTTGATTCGAATAAATTGGTGAGTATGGTATATTTATATGTTTGGTTGGGAAGATAAATGGGTAAGTATGTTATATAGATTACTAAATTGCCCTCCTTTTTAAATATTAATATAATATTATTTTTATTATTCAAATATTTTTTAACCCCCGTACATTTGAAATTTTGCTAAAATACCCTAGCCATATAAAACTTTGATTTGTAGCAAAATCACCCTCACTCACCCCAAGCCAATGTCGGAAGCTAGCCACCACCGCCGTCGACAGTCGACAGAATGGCAAACGACTAGCCGTATATGGTCAGTCGTATGCCGACAAAGCTATTTCTGAACATGGATCACAGATCCATGGCCGGTTCATGGCCAAAGATGTGGCCATGAAACGGCTAGATCTGTGGCCGTTTCATGACCACATCTTTGGCCGTGAAACGACCATAGAAACGGCTAGATCAGGTCGTTTCTAGCCATGGATCACAAATCCATGGCGGGAAACGACCTTATTGGTGCACGAACAGCCAGATCTCATGGATTGTGCGCCATTACAACGACTGACGCCGGCGGTGGTGGCTGACAGCCAGTGGTGGTCTTGGGTGGTTGGGGGTATTTTGTTAACTTTTAAACTTTTTTGTGGTTGGAGTGTTTTAGCTAAATTCTTAAATGTAGGGGGGCCGGGTAATGGTTATTTGTAGACATTTGAGGACAATTGTGTCCAAAATGGTATTTAATTAAGGGCAAAATAGGTACAAAAATCAGATTACCTAGTAATCTTTTAAGAACACCTCTGGGGGAGGGTACGGATTACCCCCTATGTTACCAACAATAAACACTATTTGGAATAAAGGATACTTGTAATATTTTATTACTTGCAAACCAAATAGCGGAATCTTGCAAAATAAACGAAGATTACCCCCGTTATCTTATATGACCCCGATCCAAACACACTCTAGGATGTATTTTCGAAAACCCCATGGTTAACCACATGCTTTAATTATGCATATATATGTGATATGTATGGAATGAATGTTAAATAAGCATGTTGAAATTAACTAAAGTTAAACCTAAATCTCCCTAATGAAAATTATTAAATCCATGCCTCCCATTATGAGATAACAAAATTATTTAAAATAAATGTTAATATCCAAGATTTCTATTATGTGGGAAATATGATCTTTATGTCATAGAATTAAGTTAATCTTGTTCTCGGATGTATATTTTCATCTTGACCAAGATTCTATTATGTGAGGACATGATGAAAATGTCATTTTAAGAATGCATAATTGTTCGGATTTAACTAGCTAGCGTACCAAAACTTCTATTATGTGAGGTATCTGAAGCTAGAGCAAGGAATATGAATAAAGTCTTATATAGTGATATGAAAGGAAAATATTTTCCTACTTATTAAACTTAATTGACCAAGACTTCTATTATGTGAGGTTGATTGAATTTAATAAGAAATTGATTCCCCGCTAAGAAATTTAATCCAACAAAAATTTCTAGATCCTACCTAAGGGAGTGTGGAACTCGAATAAAATAGTGGGAGCTAATTTGATTATGCAATAAAAGGGTTTAAGATAACAAGACACCAATAAGCATTTATTTTTCTTTGTAGTTTCATCTTAAAATTGTGATAACTAATCAAGAAAGATGGCCAACAACTTTATCCTAAGGATAATGGACAATAACCTATTAACCAGAACCAACTTTAGGGATTGGCTAAGAAATATCAGAATCGTTATGGATTTCAAAAGGATAGCTTATGTCTTGAAAGCACCTCTTCCACTCGATATTGCACCCAATGCTCCTCAAGATAAGCTATATGCTCTTGAAAAATGGAAAGAGGATAGTGGGAGGGCTTGTTATTACATGCTTGCTTCAATGAGCAGAGAACTTCAAACTAAGCTTGAAAAAGTTTTACATGCTTATGATATCCTCGTAGCTCTACAAGAGTTATACAGCGAGAATCCAAGAGTGGTTGACTATAAGTTGTGTGCTTTCCTTTTTAACATGAAGCTAAGGGATATAATACCTCCAGAAGATCATACAGTTAAGATAATCAATGGATTAGGATAGTTGGATGTGTATGGGGTGATCATTTCAGACCGAATCAAAGTGAATTTGATTCTACAATCACTTGATAATTAATGAATTATCTTAATTGTATGATCATTTGTAGGTACTCATTCCCTCAGCTTCATGTTAAAAAGGGAAGTACACAACTCATACTTAACCATTCTTGGATTCTCTTTGTACAACCCTTATCTTTATGAGGATATCATAAGCATTTGAAATTTTTTTGTGCTTAGTTTGGAGTTCTCTATTCATTGAAGCAAGCACATAATAACGAGCCCTCCTACTATCCTTTTTCCATTTTTCAAGATCATCCCGCTTATCTTGAGGAGCATCGGATCCAATATTGAGTGAAAGAGGTGCTTTTAGGACGTAAGCTATCCTTTCGAAATCCAGAACGATTTTGATATTTCTTAGCCAATTCCTACAGTTGGTTCCGGTTAATATATTATTGTCCATTATCCTTAGGAGAACATTGTTAGCCATTTTTCTTGATTAGTTATCACAATTTTAAGATGAAACTACAAAGAAAAATAAATGTTTATTAGTGTCTTGTTATCTTAAACCCTTTTATTACAAAATCAAATTAGCTCCCACTATGTTATTCGAGTTCCACACTCCCTTAGGTAGGATCCAGAAATTTTTGTTGGATTAAATTTCTTAGTGGGGAATCAATTTCTTATTAAATTCAATCAACCTCACATAATAGAAGTTTTGGTCAATTAAGTTTAATAAATAGGAAACTATTTTCCTTTTATATCACTATATAAGACTTTATTCATATTCCTTGCCCTAACTTCAGATACCTCACATAATAGAAGTTTTGGTACCCTAGACTAGTTAAATCCGAACCGTTATGCGTTTTTAAAATGACATTTTCATCATGTCCTCGCATAATAGAATCTTGGTCAAGATGAAAATATACATCCGAGAACAAGATTAACTTAATTCTATGACATAAAAATCATATCCCCCACATAATAGAAATCTTAGGATATTAAAATTTATGTTAAATAATTTTGTGGTCTAATTATGGGAGGCATGGATTTAATAATTTTCATTAGGGAGATTTAGGTTTAACATTAGTTAATTTCAATATGCTTATTTAACATTCATTCCATACATATCGCATATATATGCATAATTAAAGCATGTGGGTTAACCATGGGGTTTTCGAAAATACATCCTAAAGGTAAACTATTTACCCTAATTCTATATCTTCGATCAGATCGCCATCCGAATGCTCTTCGTGTTTCTATCTAGGCGATTCAATTACAAATTGGATCTTAAGCACGCAGGCCTGATAAAATAGATAATTAAATAAAATTAATTATTACATTCCATTAAATAAAAGAATATTACAAACCATTTGAATATTTTTGAAAAATAATGGCACCCATGATCAACCCTCTAATCTAATCCAATCCATCACATAGCCGAATATTAATCTATTCATACCAAATGAAATAAAAAATTATTTAAAGGCATGATTATATATATCTCACATATATTTATACTCATATATGAATAAATATATTATATATGCATGTGGTAATTTTATTAAAAATTTGGGGCATGCAACAATTACACAATTTTAAGGAATTATTACACAAAATAACTGTCATTTTCCACCCAAAAATAAAATATTGATTTTTCTCATTTCAAGACATTTCAAAAATGTCATGTATGACATAGAAAAATGAGTTTGATTACTTCAAGAGTAATCATTTTATGACACAAATGATTTTTTTATAAAATAATAATTTCTATGACAGATATATATCATTTCAAAAAAGGGTTATGTCATCTTGCATCATCAATTTTAAATATATTCACAAACAAATTATTACATTTAAAAAATATAATAATGTATGTCATGCAGTGATGTATTATATGATAATTTAATCAAATTAAATATTATGCATAAAATTATGATCATCATGAATATAATTCATCATATGAATTAATAACCCGTAACCTTATGCCATTATATTTTTCCACCACTAAACACTTGAAACATTTGCACATTATTCATACATAATACATTTTAACCAAATTAAAGGATATATCATTTAGCATGTCAAGCAAAAAAAAATTTAATCAAAGTCATAGAAATAAACATGCATAATTATTTCTTAAATAAATCATGTGACCATACATCATGGAACACCTTCCAAAACATTTTTCAAACAAGATATGAATGAAACAAAAATTCATGGCAAGGATTTGTGTATGGCCGAATGTCATGCAAAGAAAACAATGAACATTTCATTATCCTAAATTAAAATGAGCACATGCATGTGGTCCTTATCACATCTCATGGAACAACCATTAACCACATCCAATCACATTAGATCAAGATGAAAAACAATTTTTCATGAACAAACAAGGATGACGGAATCACATGCATGTCTAAAACTTGATCTTTGCTTATAAAATGGACATGCAAGGAGCTTTTGGCTTTGATGCCATTTGAAGAATGTATGAACATGGTGATGGAAATGTGATGGAAGCATGTTAAAGAACATGCAATGACAAGTTATAAATGCAAGGGACATAAAACATAAATAAAAGCTTAGTTTAGGATTATACCTTCTGCTAGTGCCCTTATTTGATGAAGCCAAGACCCAAAAACTTAAGTCCTTTACACTTTAACACACCTTGAGTGAAAGAGAGAATGGCCGAACCTTAGAGAGAGAGATTGTGTTTTTGGTTCAAGAAAAATGAAATACTTGTCCAAAAATGCAACTTTATTTCACTTATATAGTCATATGGCAATTTTTAATTACCTCTTTTGCTTGGATGGCCTTATAATAATTCTCAATTAAATTGTGCCAACCATTTAGTAGTTTGGCCTTTGAATAGTCAATATTATTCAAGGGCCCATTTAAACTGCACTAGTTTACATTAACAACCTGTAAGTTTACCTTTTAACCCTTTAACTCTTATAAGGTTATTTCTAGCCCATATTACTTATGTTAACACTTTAAGATATTATGATTAAATCCAATTTATTATTATTTGAACATTTTAGCCTTTAAAATGTCATGAACAATTTCTATGTAACAATTTACATTGAAATTCAGTTATTACCCTCAAAAGGTGTTAGCCCTCTTTGGATAATCATTTATCTCTCTCATCCTTCTCTAACTACACAAGGCTATTGGTGTGATCATTTAGGTCCATCGTGGGTTAGCCATGAGTTGGTTCCAGATCAATCTGGAACCTTGTCTGGAGACTCAACAATTATGGTAAACATCTAGCAATGTGCCATAGCCCCTAAACCACGATGAAGGAATAGTCCATCAAACATGTACTAGGTCATATTTTCAATGTAGGCAACGTCCTTTCCATTGTCATATTTTGATTGAATACGGATTCACGGATCATCAAAATCCTAAACTCAATATCATTCTAAATCGTCGATCGATATGTCCGGAACTCGTCATCATGAACTTACCTTCGTATGACTAATGTTATACTCTGATAAGAGATTTTGGTTTCTGACATTTATCAACATTCATCTAGGAACTCAGATCTGGATGGGGTCAACAGGTACTCCCGATCCTATATATTCAAGTCAGTGGATCCCGTCTTAACCATCGTTCATTTCTGCGTATGAACAATGCATGACCAAGTAGGCGTTAACATAAAAAGTATGGCTAGCCTCGTACTTATACACCATATGAACCATGCGCATCCGTACCTAGTCCAATCACGATGTCTCAAGTCAAAGGACTACATCGTACACTAATATGACCAAACAATAAATTATAGACTACATGCAATTCCATGTGATTCATTGTTCATTGTCACTTTCGAAAAACTGTTCATCAACCGTTAATCCATACTAATGCCTTAGTGATATGACTATCATTGTCATCCGTACTTATATCAACTCATGATGTCCCTTTTTTATTTATTTATTTTTTGGGAAGCATTTAGTATACCTACTATGTAGTATTTTTGCCCAAACAATATTGCTTTTGTAGGGAACCTTCCGATAATTACATTTACTTATTAAATTGATTATCAAGACAATTCATATATATACTTTATTTAAATACATGGCAAAATAAAGGAAGCAGCTTACATATATGAATAAAAAAACTCTTTCTTTTATTTATTAGTATATCGATACAAGACAAAATGCTTTGAAACCAACAACACAAATAGTTTCTAGGGCATACACTAACAAACTCTCACTTGCACTAAAGTTATTTACTGTTGTATCTCATACCCATCTTCTCAAGATGATGGTCTAGTTGCTTTTGTGTCCTCGCCTTAGTTAGTGGATCATCTACATTTTCTGCTGATGGTGTCTTTAGAATTATAATCTCTCCAACTCTAACGAATTATATAGATTTTTTTTGCGTCTTTGGTTCCTTTGCCTGTGCAATAGCTACAATATTGTCACAGAACATGCTTATTGGATAAGTTATGTTTGAAACCACACCAAGTTTTGATACAAATTTGCGCATCCAACTACCCCTTTTTGCTGTTTTTGAAGCAATAATATATTCAGCATTTGTAGTGTTGTATGCTGTAGTTGTCTGCTTGGAACTTTTCTAGCTAACAACACCTCCATTACATATAACAATGAACCCTAACGTGGACTTTCTATTGTCAATATCTAATTGGAAATCAGAATTTGAGTATCCCTGGATGTTTAACTCTAAACATCCATAACTCAAAATCAGATCCTTAGTTTTTCTCAAGTACTTGAGGATCAATTTTACAACCGACCAATGTTTCTCCCTTGGATTATACTAGTATCTGCTTGTAACACTTACAGCATAAGCTATATCAGGTCTTGTACATAACATTGCGTAGATTAGGCTCCATATGGCCGAGGCACAAGGCACATTATGCATCCATTGTCGCTTTTTATCGGTCTTTGGACCCATCTCTTTGGAAAGATGAAGACCGTGAGTGAAGGGCAAGAGACCTGTCTTACAGTTCTCCATGCTTAATCTTTTCAGCATTTTCTCTATGTATGATTT